TTATCAAAAACAAAACGCCCCTCCCCCTCTTCTCGAGAATAAACAAACATTCATATTCGAACAAACTAAGGGATAGGTGTGTCTGCATTAAAAACCCGACTACCAGACGCGTTTAACATACAATATTTAATATAGAGGAAAACCCTTTTTGGGGGCAATCAGGGGCTGATCCCGGGGGTTCCCAACTAAAAAGAAAAAGGGGGGTCCAACCATTCAAATGCATTGATCTTTTCAATAAAAGTCGGGTCCAACCCGCGGAACCCCCTTCCCCGGTTCGGCCACTGGGTAAACATTGGGGGGGGGGGGGGGGTCCGGTAGTTAGAATCCCCATTTTTTTTAAAAGATCAATGCTTTTGAATTGAGACACATGACTGTCATAAAAAAATTACCTTCAAGCAAAAGAGTATAGATGCTTATTGGAATTTCCTAAAATGTGTTTTTTAATATCATGAAACAATTTGTAGTGAACACTATTAGTAATGTCTTATATTCATGCTATTTAAAAAATAATCAATTTCTATTGTTACGAATAACAATGGACTTTGTTTGCGGGATGTAGAAGCAGGGGTTTCCAGAAACCCCGCTCGCCACACCCTGTGGTCAAAATCCATTGTTATTCGTAACAATAGATCTATTCAATTTACACATGTTTCAGAAATAGAAACTATGAAGTATAACAATAGAACTGGGGTGTAATAGTAAAGATAACATTAAACATTGTTAAAACAAGAAATGGTAAATACAAGAATTAATTTAAGATTTTCAAGCGGGGGGGTTGCACAATAACCATGGAACTTAATTGTGTCATATTTACCTCCAAACGATTAACCTACATGGCCCGAGAACACAATTATTTCATAGTGCATTTCTTTTAGACAATAAATTCAAATTAAAAAATCGAACCTGCTCTATCTCAAAAAGATTTTTACAGTGTAGTGTACTACTAGTGGGACAAATAATATCAAAATTATAGAAACTTCTACCAACTCTAACTCAAAATATTGACAATTCTGTGTTAAGGGGGTCTTAAGTTCAGTTTGACAGCCTCAGACGTAATAAAATTTGACCTTTTTTTAACTGGACCAAATCACTAGTTAACATAAAGATTCAGCACCTCAATTTTTTTAAAATGTAATTTCATCCCCTTTACTTAATATTTCATGCATTAAATATCAAGAAATAAATTGGGAAAGTGTATCAAATAAAAATACAAGTTATACACAGTGGCGGATCCAGAAATTTTCATAAGTGGGGGCCTACTGACTGCCTAAGAGGGTCATGCTTCAGTTATTCCCTATATAATCAACCAAATTTTTCCCAGAAAAGGGGGGCCCGGCTCCCTGGGCCCTCCCCCTAAATCCGCCTCTGATACACTGTTCACACTAGGGACTATATTCGTAGACAATGAAAACCAAAGGACGATAACTGTGTCCCTGTACCACATGTAACATTAGAATACTCACTTGAAAGGATGACTGATTTTTTTCTTTTAAAGATGAGAGTCTGATATAGGGCCTGAAAGCTGTCGTGGTTGAGAGGATTATAAATTCCGCCAGGCTTTTATAGGAAAAAATGGAGAAATTATAAATGGAAATATAATGCACGCTGTTTAATCATGCTTTTCAAGGCTATTTACCGATGACTCGTACACAATCATTTTGAATGGTGAATAAGATCATATAGTTTTAGATGAATTAAGCACTCAGAAACTAGCCCGTAAAAAGGAGGAGAAAATCCAGTTTTTCAGTAAATATCAAAGTAAAAGTATATAAGTCTATAACATTTGCGCAATTGTATACTTGTTTTATTGACGCAAATGAATGCTGCAGTTTTCAAAATATAGTGACGCAAAAGAAGAATTGGCGTAATTAAGTTGTGGCGAAAATTGATTCTTTTTCTGTGCAAATGGATATCGGCCTTTAAAACACCGTTTGTACACTAACAAACGTGTATTTATCGTTTACGCTGTCTAGCATGGGATTAAAAGTTTTGGCAATTTGTGTAGGATTTTAATTTTAGAAAGTAACGAACAAGTAAGAAGATCGTCAAAAACCTGAAGTGTATCGGAAAATGAGCTATGCACGATAAAAGAAAATAGTCTGGTGCGTCGATATGAAATTTTACAGATGCATGTATTATTTGTAAAATTGAATTAGTCTATTAATAACAACCATTTGTAGAACTGATTCTTTTGATCCTTCAAATATGTGTAAAATATTCTTTGATAGTTTCTTTCATATATACAATTGCAGTATGCTTATAAATACTGTAGATTTGTATTTGATCATTGATTGCATGCATAATGTCCAGTGACAAATATTTCATAAGTTCGTACAAAGAACAAATCAAAAACTTTTAAAATACATTTGATTGGTTATTTAAGGTGATTCGATCTTGATGATATGCATGAAAGTTTGTGAAGCTTACCTCTGAAATAAAGAAATAATAAAAAAAGGAAGAGTTTTTTTTTCTTCTTCTGTATTTTACTCATACATGAACTTAAGCACTTTTTACAGTCAAAATAACAGTTTTAACACCGACAGCAGCAATTGCAAGCGACGCTGGTTCCATATAAGTTTTCACGAATTTTTATAAATCCCTGACCATCTTCGGTTTATATCAGACTCTGATATTGAGGGGAACATATACTACCATGGGTGTCTTGTCTTTTTTAATACATTTAGATATAAAACGTGTATCTCATATACAGCCTCATTTATAGAACATTGTTTATGATATTGTGTCAAGGAAATAGTTGGATCAAAGAAATATTTGGAGGAGGAGAAAGAGGAGAGAGAGAGAGAGACTAATATTTTTCGCGGTATTTGGTCTCGGGTTACTCATGTCAAAATGTGATGGAAGGAAATGTTTCCCCTTCGTTTTATATAGCAGGGTATTCCATAGTGTAATTATATTAGTTACAGTTTTTTTTTCTATCGGTAAGAAATGGTATACAGTTCGAAATCTAATTATCTACATTAAGTTATAGTACATTTAAAGTAAGTTTATTGCATTGCTAAACGCTTCTCAATCAAGATAAAACGTTTACAACCAATACTATTTTTTGCGACTGAATAAATTTTTTTTAGAATAGATAGTTCACGTTCCATTGAACTAAGGGTATTGTTTAGGTTTTTTTTTTAAATTTTATAATGATCGAATTTGAAATGTTATTAACACAATGATTCAAAATTACAAAAAGACATAAAAAATTACGCAATTAGTATAAAACAAAAATTATAATAATTAAGATAACTTATTTGCTTTAATTATTTAATTAACAAGTGAAATGTTATCAATCCAATCTTTCCAATCTAATATAGTCCAAAGGGTGACAGGGGGATAGAAATATGGTCACTACAGGTCTTCTTCCGGCTGGCAGTAAAGAACAACCATGTCAAAGAGGTGCATCCATTTGGTTGTTCGGGATATACAAGTACGCAACCAACTATAAATCAATCCAATCTAATAATTGTTTTTTTTTATCCCGCATTTTTTTTTATAATAAATTAAAAAATAAAATAATTTTCTGAAATAAAAACCTAATATATATATCATACGCTTTACAAAACGATATGCCACACGATAGATGAAACGTTAAACGATATCATATACCATATACGATAAACGAACGCTAAACGCTAAACGCTAAACGCTAAACCATACCATGTACCATACGACAAATCAAACGCTTTACGATACCATAATGCAAACGATATACAGAACCCTAAACGATGACATTTACCATACGATACACCAACGATGAACGAACGCTGACCGAACGTTGTACGTACGCTATACGAATGATGTACGAACGATGACCGAACTCTATACGAACGATTCCCGCACGCTGTACGTACGATTCCCGAACGAAAAAAGTGTTAACTTTTACGTTACAGGGACTGTACATTCAAAATTTGGAAAAACATTATATTGGTCTGATTATAACATGGTATGGCGGTTATCCTTGATCCTAAAAAGATATTTAGATAAAAAAATTATTGGTCAACTTGCATTGAATATATATCTAAGTGATATCATTATAGATACAACAGATACAAATAATCTTTAAATATTTTAATTTTTGGGAAGAATCAACTTTTTTCAAGATATGTGTTTTCAAAGTACAATGTATGTATAGTACTGATTTCTTGTAATAGTATTTTGTCGCTTTGTTTACTAAAGCGGCATAAAGCAAATACCAATCAATCAATCAATATTTTTCTTTGAGCTACAGGTACTGATTAACCAGTACACACATAATATGTATGTTGGGTATATTAAGCTCGATATTATATTTGCTAAGTTTGCATGTAAAGAAACGAATTTTCAAGGGGCGCAAAAAGTAAATCATAAATCATATATAGTATGGACCAGATGTGACGTTATAACACAATATCCTCCTCCTGTTTCAGAAAATATAAGAGTTCGTTTTTTTTTTCTCCATTCCGATAAAAGCTACCATGTAGAATTGAGTAAATTGTCTGTTTATAATTTTTATGAAGAAATTAAGGTTTCAACTCCCTCAGGCAAAGTTAATCTAGGATGGATTTGGCTATTATTTGTTCGTCCCTTTTTTGGTCTCATAGCTTTTCAATTGTTTCGGTTCTTATACATCCTTTACTTTCAAATATTCGGCTTTGAGCGTTCCTGATATAGGGAAATCCAGAACAACGCTTCAGACACATAAAACTATGAAGTGTTGTTTTCAATCAAAGTTTATAACACGTTTACATACGATATGCTTTTTTCCCACTAAGTCAGACTTATTTTATTCAAACAGAAGGAAAACGCAGTTAATACTTGACTAATTAAATTACAGTTTCAATAATATGCATATCTGAATGTGCGGATAACTGTAGTGTTTCTGACGAACAGAATCAGGGACATGACGTTTAAACCGATACCTTCACATGAAAAGGTTACCGTTTCATGTCCTTGACTGTTGTACTCTTATTTAGACTGTTTAATCATAACATAAACATAACTAAAATACATACCTCTTATTAGAACTCACTATAAACATTTGGTTTATCTTTTAAACCAAGGGCTTCGTAGGCTGCCATTGATCTGCAATGATTGTGTATATATTCAATACAGGCTTTCTACTAAAGAAGCATTTTGATTTATTTTTGATTTATTTTAGACAATTTAAGGTGGTATTGGAAAAACTTCCCTATTTAGTAGAAAGTAGAGCGTATGGTTGACTTTTGTCTGGGTTTTCACTTTTTTTATTAATTGAAAGTTTTTATTGATTTAAAATGTGATTAGACGTAGCCTTTAAAGACCCTTATTCGTTTGACAGGCTTTCCTTCAAGTTGCTTAGTATATTTATATATTTCACTGTGAATAAATTGTGATGAGGAGTATACGTCATTCAGACAGCAATTCAACCACACAAAAACCAAAATAATCTTCCAAACGTTTTGTGTTAAATAATCTTCAATATACAGTCTGTTAAGCCGGTTTCCTCGATTATAGACACGGTATGAGATACTCAAACAGTGACTATCAAATATATGTCACAAAAGGGTAATAATCATTAAAAAGAAGGCGGAAGATACGAAGATGACATTCGCAACTTGAGAGAAACTGACAACGCCATGACAAAATGAAAAAGGCGAGGAAAACACAAACAAGTTCTCAAAACACAATATAGAAAACTTGAGACTGAGCAACACGAACCCCATCAAAAACTGGGTGATCTCAATTGTTCCAGAATGGTAGGCATATCCTGCTTTACTAGTGGCACACGTCGTGTTGCTCATGGTAAGTACACATTTGGTATTGTGTCTCATTCGGTGATGTCGTAATCGAAGAAAAAAAGACGGAATAATGGTAATAACAATTGCACATATACGTAATCATTTGTGACACAGATATTCCATAACTGTCAACCAACGTATGATGACGTCCGTAAAATTTTCGGATGGAAAACTTCAACTTGAGAACTTGAAGCCATTAGTTTAATATGTATAGCTTTCTTGTAAGAAGTCACCGTCTATGATGGAGATACATACTACATGTGCAGATGCTGCGGGAACGTTGTTACATAGAAATGGAAAATTTACAATTGTGTGGCTGAAATCAAACCCTTTGTCGTAAAGTTTTGTTTTCAAACGACACTCGTTGTCAATTTCTAGATGTAAGTTAATATATGAGGCAGAATTAACTGTTTCTTTGGTATCCTTTATTTTAAGGTCGATAAGATATAAATGATCACAACAACTTACTAGATAGGTTCTTGACTTTGAACAGGCAAATACACATTTGGTTAGGATGAACTAAACCCTTCCCTTTCAAACTCTATCAAAAGAAAACCACAAAAAAATAAATTAGTTAGTTACGAGGCAAAGTCACTTCACTCTATAATACCGGTGTAAATAATAATAAAACGAAGTCTTATCAAGAAATATTCGCAGTAACTGAAAGTTCTAATAAAGTTTTAAAAATTAATAATCAGACATTTAGAATGTTAAGATCAGGTTAAGTAAAAATGGTACTTACGTATCACTGATATCTCTTGGTTGATCTGAAATAAAGGTAAAATCATTTTTGAAACAAGACCCCGTTCAGGTTAGAATTCTTTGGAAAACAAAAAACAAATGTCATGGAGAACACAAGGAAGAGGCAGTGTAAACATATCTAGGATTCTTATGTATTTAAACTCAAGCAAAATTTAACATGTCATTCAATAAAGTTAATTCACGCTCCAATATTTCCACTGGTTACGTTCAAATCGATATTATCAGAAAAAATAAACCTTGAAAATTTATAAGGCTTGCAAAAGAACTTGCTTGAAAATATGAAAAATACGAAAAACCACTGACATGCAACATGTGCAAAAACTGCTTGAAGTCGAGTAGAATTACAACTATTGAATTATTAAGATACATTCTACAATGTATGCTATCCAAAGTCTCACTCAACGTGAGTATTCAGCTTTGTGATTCTTATGTCATAAAAAGAAGCAGGTACAATTAAAGGTGTTTTGAGATGTTTAAATCACTATTACCTTTATTGTTAGAATATTACTTGTCTGATTCCTTTGCAGAATCTGTAACTACATCGTACATTTGGGTGTCAGAACGATGTTGTGAAGAACCTGCTTTATTACTAAACAAACACATTTCAGTTAACCAGATGTACAATATACCACAGTTTTTATACATGTGTTTTGTGCCTTTTCATGGTACTTGTCAAAGATTTACCGCTATTCATTTACTATGTAACTAACGTCACTAACGTTACATATTGTTTACGTTGCCTATTGTATACGTAACATTGCCTTGTGTGCAACTACTCATTACATAAACACAATTTGTATGAACACAAGCCTTTTTTAATTCTTAGCGAAGTACTAGCCACAACCTTCACGATATTGGTGCCGTGACTTATGGAGAAGCTAAAAGCAATTCGTGGGTGGACACCGAAGCGCCGTCACAAAATTGATCAATAGGACCAAGGAGAGAATTTCGGAAAATGTCATCGAAAATCAAGAGCTTTTGGCTGCGCAGGAACACTGATAAGAAGAAGATAGAAATAAGAAGATGTGGTATGAGTGCCAATGAGACAACTTCCCATCCAAGTCACAATGTGTAAAAAGTAAACAATTATAGGTCAAAGTACGGCCTTCAACACGGAGCCTTGGCTCACACCGAACAGCAAGGTATACAGGGCCCCAAAATGACTAGTGTAAAACAATTCAAACAGGAAAAACAACGGTTTAATCTATATAAAAAACGAGAACCGAGAAACACTTAAGAACCCGATCAGCAAACGACAACCACTGAACAACAGGTTGAAACTTTGGACTCACAGATTTTAGATGGAACAAGTAATTTCTTGACGCGGACGATTATAATATGAATATGGAAGTTTAATAACCCTTCTACCATATCTGTCAGACATTGCCGAAAATCTCCACAGGTTTACCGTACCCACTTCTACTACTTTGATCCGTCAAGCAGATATAAAACATGAACTTATTAGACAATTTCAAATCAGATGGAAATTGAATATCTGACCGCATTAAGAGAATTTCACAAGACCATCGGGACAAACAGTCAAATTATCAAAGTGGGCGATGTAGTCCAGATTCACGATGATTCTCCGAGGATTACGTGGAAACTAGGAGTCGTAGATGAAGTTTGTCATGGAAAAGATGGATATACTAGATCAGTGAAAATTATAACAATGAACGGATTAACTAGTCGTCGTTTTTCAAAACTCTATCCGTTAGATGTTTCCGATTCGACAGTGCCATCAACAGTGCCAGCCACAGAGACCAGAGAGCTTAAATCGAAAACTGAAGCCAAATTCAAGATTCGAAAATGGGCTTCTTAATTTGTTATTAAAACAAGAGACTGTAAAAAATGAAAACAACACGTTATTAATTTAATGCGTCCAAAGCGCTTTTCTGGATTTTCCTTCATCAGGAACGTTCAAAGCCGAATATTTGAAAGCCGAGGGTGTATAAAACCGAAACAGTTGAAGAGCTATATAATCAAAACTGACATAAAATAATAGCCAAATCCTTCTAAGGCCAAATTTGCCTGAGGGAGTTGAAACCTTAGTTTCTTTATAATTTCAAAATTTATAAACTGTCTAGTTTAGAAAGGTTTGTTTTTAATCATGTCAGTACCGAAGTACTGACTACTGAGCTGATGATACCCTCGGGGACTGATAGTCCACCAGCAGAGGTATCGACCCAGTGCTGTAAAAAATGAAAACAACACGTTATAAATTTAATGCGTCCGAAGCGCTTTTCTGTATTTAACTGCATCAGGAACGCTCCAAGCCGAATATTTGAAAGCCAAGGATGTATAAAACCGAAACAGCTGAAGAGCTATATAATCAAAATTGATATAAATAATAACCAAATCACGATTTTGTATTATCATTTCACATTTTGTATGTTCATTTCTTTTTAATAATATTTTACTAATTTTCACGTCTCGGGGGAACAAATATGCCTATTGTTTTATCCTTAATACATAAAAGTAACTAAAATCTATCAAAAAAACTTATTAAACATGCAAAAAATTAGCGAAAAGCCATTTGAGTTGCTTTGTTGCCCCCGTGTTATTTTGTTTTTGGAGGTGCTTACACCAAGAAAATTATCAACTCCAAAATTCTCTCCTTGAATGTGATGGTTGTCCTTTACCAGTCCTTTATATAAGAATTGATGATCAAAACGAGGATTTTTCGTATCGTTGTAGGTTGCATTCCTTGGATAGTGTGGACCATGACATATAAAACCCGCTCAGTCGTTATCGATAATAAGATATGAAGATTAATGCAACGGAGAAGGCTTTGGAAGATTGAACATTCCAATAACTGAGAACGGTATACTCCATAAACAATTGTGTAAATATAAAGGGAATCTAAATCTCAGCTGTTCTATCTTTAGTTACATGTATGTGATGATTAACTTTCCAGCGGTACTCGAAGCGTATGTCGACCTCGAAATGGAAGCAATTATATCTATATATCAATTTGTTCTTTTCTTTAAGCTTAATCAGATAAACATAAATAGATTTATATCCAGGCCGTATTCTTTTCATATACTAGTATATTTTTATTATTTGTTTACCTTTTAGTCTTGATGATTGTTTTTCGTTTAAACCGCAACAAACCTTAAATATTTATACTAATATTTATTTTAGTGTGTTTTTCACATAATCTTATAAAACTGCCTTAAAGTGTTAATATACAATTCTCTCTCTCTCTCTCTCTCTCTCTCTCTCTCTCATGTTTATTTGTCAAATCAAATCAATGACAGTAAAGCGGTAAATCTACAGAACTGAAGGATAACATTCTTTTCTCAATGTCCTTACTATCTTGTCTTTCTTTGAATACACAGTCTTTGGAATTTGGGGTCCTCAATGCTCTTCCGCTTCGTACTTTATGTGGCCTTTTGACTTTTTCATACCAGCGTCACTGAAGAGTCTTTTGTAGACGGAACACGCGTCTGGCGTACAAAATTATAAGCTTGGTATCTTTTATGCTTTTTTTCTTAATGCAATAGCTACATTATATCTCGCTTTACGAATGAATTGGTGTATATGTCCTTTGTAATAACTAGCTATATATATATAGGAAGAAACAAATACATATGGTGATATGATCATTGCCCACCATCTTCTTCTAAATATGCCTATACCAAGTCAGGAATATGACAGAAATTTTCCATTCGTTTCGTTGGTTATATAGTTGAGCGCTTGGTTTTGTCATGTTTTGTTGACTTTGTTTTATTATGAAACTTTTGACCAACGAGATCAATCTATATCGGTTTCTTTGACTTTTTAAGACTATTCTGGTGATATTAGGGCAAATTGAGGTCTTTATAGAAAAAAAACTATGATATTGTTAAAGGTTTGTCTTCATTGTACATGTCTTTTACTCCAGTAATACTGTTATGTGACTGAAATCAAAGTGTCGTACTATCAATCGTAAACAAAACAATAAGATGTTCGTGAAGACACTAAATTTTCTAAATTAGGAATCGAAACGGTTGTTTGTCGTTACAATTTTGCCATGATTGATTTCTGGATGTTTTTTCGTCGGCAACACATTAAGGTTAAAAAACATGAAAAAACTTAAATCATTTTGATATATCTACACACAGTGAAACAAACAATAAACGAAGACACCATATTATTATCCAAACAATAATGACATTTACCTACTACAAGCCAAGCTACAATGGTAATAATAGTGAAAGATGTTCCCAAAGCTACCATCGGAATGCTTGCGGACTGTATAGCATTAGCTGTGTTTTCTAAAAATTATTATTCAGAATGTCTTATAAGAAATTGATCCCTAAATAATTACATTACATCTAAGTTAGAATCGGTTAGTTTGATTGGCTAACAACAATCGCGCGTTTTTCAAAAATTAACCTCCATATCAAAATGAAATGTTACATTCGTGATGACACGTGCTTCCACAAAAAAGTGCAGAAGTAAATAAAAGAAAAACTCGATAAAACTTTTTTTTCATGGTCTTATTAGCATAAAAATGTAATTATAAGAAATGAATGCACACATTTTTAAAATGAAGCGCTTCTGCGCTTCATACAAAATGTGCTTCGGTCAACACTTTTACACCCAATTAAAATTACAAGAAGAAGCATTCATTTCTTAAGAGAATAAGAGTCATTTAGACGCACCATTTAATAAGAATGATGATTTTACGTCTTGTATATCCAGGATATATGCTCTTTCAAATACCATTATACATGTAAATCTGGATAGAAAAAGTTCTAAATTCAAATATCAAGCCATTCGATAAAAAAAATCGATCAAGCTCAAAGTTGCGCATCAAAACATTTGTTACTTTGTATGTTCTCATTACAAATACCTTCTGCGTGATCTCTTGAATAATTTCTATGTAAAATGTAGTTTGATTTTAGATTACGTGCTTTCATCAGTAATGTACTCTTTGTATGTCACTCAACGTTAATGTACAATAATCATGACAAAACTTTGCTCCATGCAAATATGCCAAAACAAATATACAAACTAGAAGTCCAAGATTGTTTTCTATATATTCTTGCTAAGCGATTGAGGCTGAATAGAAACCGTTCTTACTTTTACAAAATAACAGTGGAAAAAAGGATTTAAATTGTAAAAAGATACATAAAGATGAGTTAAACAAATATTTACCTTATGACTGTTCATGTTCTGTCATAATATGTAAGAATGAAAACAGCAGCTCTATGGTACACGAGAATACAGTAAAATAATTTAGGAATTACAAGCTAAAAATATTTGTTGATCATGAGGCATATTGTTCTAATACCTTTTACCTTTACTAAGAGTCTGGACTGTGATAATTCCTGATGGTAAACTTTTGTTGAAATTGTTTTCCGCTAAAATTCTTACGTCATAAAAAGTTGAAGTTTGTAAACTTATCAATTCGTATATTAGCTTTTTATCGCCTGTTTCTTTTACATTCATTTCTTTTCGAATCCACATTGATGATATCGACATTTTATACTCTATATGATACATTAGTGGAAATGCTCGATCACCCACTGGTATCCACTGTATTGTCAAGCTTGTTTCTCCATCTGATATGACGGTGATATTTCTTGGTGTTTGTGGAATATCTAAATTTATACAATCATTGTAAAATCAGAAATACTTTAAGGAATAAGAATTACAAAGAAATTAGACTGGTATGTTGTGTAAATGAATTATTAATTTGGAACAACTATGTCGGAATTTGTTTTACAGCCTCGCCGTGATAATAACATTTATAGTACAAATTTTACTGCTCTGGATGCGCATTGCGACAAAAAAGACCAAAAAGTAGGGCCAAATAAGGAAAATATAGGGATAACTTTTTAAAAAACGTATCAGTCTGATTATTTGAAAGCACATATTTCGGGCGTTACTGTAATATTTTCGTTATTTAGCAAACATTCTGATCAAACTTACTTCCTATATTAGGAAACAGATTGTGATCGACGAAGTTCCCTATGCCATTTGACAACTGCCAGTTTGTAAACAGCGGCATCTTCAAATTTCAACTCATTAATAACCAAAGTCAGTCTGTACCCATCAAGTTGTACCTCTCTACCATGGAAATTGTCATTCACAATCATCATGTTTTCAGTCATATTGTATTTAGCTGACTGTTTCAGAAGGACTGTGTTTTTGTACCATCTGATTTTGGTATGTTTAGGTTCACTAAACACGTAAACATTGACATCAACACTTCTTCCGATCACTCCAATCATTTTCTCGTCATTGCCTTTTGCAAAAACAGGTTGTGCTATAATATAAATAGAAATGTGCTGATTAAATACACATATATGTACATACATATATATATATATATATATATATACTTATTGTGAATATTTGAAAAATGTTTTGCTATAAATGCTTTTAGTCCTGACAAGTACAAATGCATATTTGTTATTTTATTTTTTACACATTAGTTCGTACTTTTATCATTTATTAGTCATGTGATCTTCGAGTATCATAATTTGGCGCTATGCAAGTTATATGTTTTTGAATACATCAATTGTAGAAGGGGTGTCCTGATGTTCTGCATTTACTCCTTTTGTTTTCTTACAGGACAGAAAAAAATGTTTTTTAAGTTATTGATTCTAATACGTGTAGAAGCAAGAGCAATTATTGTACCTATTTTTGCAACAAACGATTTTGTTTGTTAGGGAACCGTTTAAATAAAAGTTTTGATATTATATTGTACAAATGACATTAAAAGTTATACCCTGAAACAATATTATTCCACAGGTCTTTTTTTAAATCAAACTAAACATTTGCTTACCATTGATTTTAACAAATCCATATCCTGATTGTTTTTCTTGTCCATTTGTGCCCAAAATGCCATTTCCAAATGTACACATATATTTACCACTGTTCTGGTAGACTAATTCCGTTGATACTTCCGGAAGTGCCAAAATTCCATTTTGTCCGATTGTCAACTCTCGAATCATAACATCATAAAAAGACTTTTGATAACAATTAACGTATGTGTATTCATTAGGATTACCTTGAATTCTGCACTGAACATTCCTTGCCTTATCTGTTTGCTGGAACGTTTTATTTTCTACTTTTACGCTCGGTGCATCTAAAAAAATATATTTGTAAGTGTAACTCTGTAAGAAGTTCAATTAGAGTAATTTTGTCGAACGCACGAAATATTACATTGAAATGTTTGAGCAAACAGCCTTCATCAAATGTTGATTTCTTTTTAACTGATGAAGGCATTATTATTTATTTCAGACATTTTTCATTTTCTTAAATATTTGAATCTTACCAATTGAGAAATGCAAGATACTATAATAAAAAAAACCTCACCCTGTTCATGATTCAGGCGGAAAGGGTTGAGATCTTTGAAAAACTAGTTTTAACATATTTTTGTGCCTGTTCCGGTCGAGAATATCGTCGTTGGTTGTCTGTGTCCTGTCTAGATAGTGTAATTAAAATTTTACTGTTTTTTTTTTAACTTATTGGTTTGTTTTGAAATTGACAAACTGTGTAGACGGCTGTCTATTGACTTTGACTGTTTGTGACCGTTAATTCAAGTTGAATGTCATAGCAATCAGTCTTTTCATATTCTTAATCAAAACAATTGTAAATCAAATTCGGTATATAGTAACCACCAATTATGTTCTACTTTGAGTACAAAGGCTAATAATTTAGAATCTACTTACATTTGATATTGAGCAATGTGCTTGACGACACATTACTGCTTAAAATATTACTGGCTTTACATGTTACCATTTGTCCGTTATAGGTTCTGTCAACATTGTAGATTAACGTAGATATTACTGTAAACATTTCTGTGGACGAATTAAAGGTCTTAGTTTCGGAGGAGTTTATTGTTACATCCATATTAGTTTGTCCAATAAGCCACGTAACATTAGCTGCAGGTCTACTACCATGCGAGGTACAGGAAACATTTAGTGGCATGGTCTCTTCTGTACCTACAGATTTCTGGTCGAATATTGGCGAGATCGGTTTTACTGAAAATATACGCATTTATAAATTTTTACCCTCTCGATAATGTAATATATGTGTTTCCGAGATGGTTTCATGTTTGTTCAAAAATAATATATTAAGTTGTAACAGTTTCAATTCTTATGAAAATTTAAGTAAGTTTATTTTGATATCCCCCTTACAGTATAGTCTCTAAATTGTGATACATGATTGTTTCTCATTAGTATAATTATATCATATTTACCTTAATTTTATTGATCTGGTATAATAATTTATAAGATATATCAGGGTATCAAATGTGTCTATGTTGAAACCTGTATGTTGGTTTCAAGGTGTCGTTTTGCTATTTCTGTAGTGTAGCGGCTGGCTAAATGTTGTATGTCCACTACTCTTTTACAAAATGTATATATTTACCACACGTTTCAGATTAGTTTGACATATTGATTTTACTTCAACAACTTAAAAAGCATTGATAAAACTTTTAATATGCAAATATATCTTATTTATTTCATATCGGATTTAAATTATTATTGTTCATCCCTGTTATAGTTACAATAACAAAACCTTAAATATTACTGGTTTTCTCAAAAACTAACAATTTCAGCAAATATCTTACGGGTGAGATACAGCTTTGCTGAATCAACCAATGGATAATGTGAAATCTCTTCGTTTCCTGCATAACATGTAATTGTCTTACGATCATACGATCTACTGATTTTTGGCAGTGTGTATTGAATAGATTGGTTGCCGGTAGCAACTGTAATTCCTGATATCAGCAGTTTCATATTTGGTGGTGGTTTTCCTCCAACACCTCTGCATGTTACCATCAAATCTAGTCCTTCTGTAGCTGGCAGTTTGTCATCTGGTAACACATCAACTATATTTACACTTACTGGTTCAACTGAAAATGCAATATACTTGATAAACCATATCAACCACTTTAGTAAAGAAGGAAGTACGTGTACGCTAAGTGAAAATTTGGAATTCTATTGGAAAACTGAAATTATATACATTCATATGTGCATCTTCAATGCTAGCTATAGTGACTTGTTAGTCGAGGCGTGTTTTATGGCTATGCAGTATATATAAGAACGCAACCATGCTCAGAATAATTGTGTGCGATACATTAAATACACGATTCCATATTAATGCGTTTGCATTCTTTTCTCTGCACGCGCGACGCCCTTGCAGCTACTCTTGCTGAGGATGTTTGGTTAAATTAGGTGTGTAGCTTTTCAGCAACGTCTACTTATTGTGAAACGGTGACAGATGTCCAGACAGGGAAAAGAGGACCAACTGAAAGCAATGATATTAACATAAAACAACCATTGATAGGTTTACAAAGTTAATACAATTTTTAGCACAAACTATAAACAAACATGATCAAGTTCAACACATGCAAGGTTTATGATACATTGTAGATTGTACATGTATATTCCCCTCTTCAAAGATTGAAGGCAAAATCTTAAATCCAAAATAAGAAACATCTATAAATATCTTGCTTTTTCAACATTGGTGTTGATGTTTAAATTTCAGACTAATTGAGTTATAATCAAAATTAAGTAATGTTTGCCCTTTTTTATCTTACATAGGTTAAAATGCCCCAATACAAGAGAAATTATTCATATGTTATATGTATCCTTATAAGAATTCTTTTTTTAAATAAAATAATAATTTGCCTTTCTATATCTAGCTTTTTAATAAATAATCAGAGAAGAGCAAAAAAACATGTTTTGAATATTGGCCTTAGGCTTGTTAGCAATAATTTGAAAATACAATAATACAATTTAGTATAAACAGATAAGGTGTTCAATATTTGCACCAGGAGATATTTGGACTTATTTCTTTTGAATTTAGAAAATATTACAAATTTACTGATGAAGTTTGAATTTTGTTCCAGTCGAGTGAATTTTCAGCTTCTTCTTGATCTGTATTACTTTTCTTTTTAGTTGCTTTTAAAATTTAAAAAAACTTGAACGATACTTTTTAATTGTACTTAGTTTGCAAGTAGTTTTTCTAAATTTGTCTTAATAGAAACTATGCCTTTTTTGACATTTTATGGAACTACATGTATTTTTTTATCTTGATAACAGTTAGTTTATGTATTTTGTATGCATGGAATTTATTGATATGTCATAATGTGTGTCTATATTATTGTATTGTCGATTTGAATAGCTCATTAGAGCATGTGTTATATGTATGTGTTTACTAAATATCGACTCTAAGTAAAACTTTGAATTGAATTGAATCGAATCAACAAGCCAAATATCTCAGCCCTAGGTCAAAAGACAGTAAGTCATGGCCTGGTCAAGTGTTTCTTGCCAAAAATACATTTATCATCCTTGAGGTCAAATTTCAAGGTCACATGAAGGTCATTATTGTAAGGGGCCACACCACCTCATTATAATACATCCACATGCCAAAGATTAAAGGCCTATGTCAAAAGACAAAAAAGTTATGGCCTGGTCGTGTTTCTTGCGAAAAAAATGAAATTGACCGTGAGGTCAAATGGGTCACACGAAGGTCATTATGATACAAGACCCTTAACCTCATGATGGTTCATCCACATGCCAAATATCTAAGGCTTAAATCAAAAGAAAAAAAAGTTATGGCCATATGTATTTTCAGAATGGAACTTGCTCTTATTTATTGAGGGTGGGTATATTCTAAACTTGAACAGAAAACAATCTGGCGGTTAAATTGTTATAATTAAAAATAGCAGACTAATATAGCACTACAAATAGTTAGTTTAAAAAAAAAACGACACTTTTTTTTTATTAACATTTATTTCTTAAAATATAATTTTTGGTCGGTATATCTTAGACCCCCTTTTTATTTCAGACTAAAATTAAAATCCATAATAAAAAACTTACAAATAAAGGGTATCAATCAACTAAAAATTGCCTGAGTTATCACTTTTAACTATGCTATTGTCAATTTAGGCTAAACTTTTAAAAAAAAATAACATATATACCCCTATACCCTGTTCTGGAACTTCCAAACTCGGCCGAAATTAGCATGTGACTCATGCCATATTTGGGTGGCCATATCTTTTTTACCAAAGGTTCAAATCTTTAAAAAATGTACATGATGTTCAGCTAGGCCTAATTTATCAATAAGATAAAAACAAGAAAAATTATACGACAGGGTATAGTGTTGGGTACCACCTTAAATATGTTTTATTGATTTTTCTGCATTGAACTTTGGGACTTGTTTGCCCTTTGCATTGCACAAGATCATATCTTCAAGTGTACAATTTTAACGTTATTGTTGTATGAAATTAACTCTGATATAAGAGAGAAGGAGGAAAGGATTTCACATCAGCAAATCAATTATTTTGAATTAGCCTCAATATCGATGAGCAGTCTTAGATACGTTTTGTTTATTATATTAGTTTTTCGATTATACTTTTGCTTTCGTTATTGTTTTACCGATATAAACGAGTTAAAAGTGCTTAAACCTGTGTTAATCATTTTTATATGTTCTTTTTATACAAAAAATGTATGTGACGTTTGTTATTCCACTGAAGAGTTAAAGGGTTAGATTGAGATCTGGAAAAAACATAATATATTTACGCTATGTATATAGTATCGCTATGGCATGACATCTATAGTGATTACTGAGAAACTGATCGTCAGAAAAACTTAGCGTTTACCAATGAACCATATGAATGAATATGAGGCCAAGAAACGCAGCATAAATGGTACTTTTTACTTTACTTTAGAACAAGTTTATAAACTACACCACAAAGAATATATGCGAACACACAATTTCATTGAAAACTCAACTTCTTGTTCATGCAAGATGAACTACCAAAATCAAATGTAATATCAAGAATTATGAATTGCTAGATGTATATTCTGCTCTACTCTGAATGGGTTTCCCCGATAACACCAGCTTTAGCGAAAGCAAAAGCAAAAGCAAGAAAATCACCTGAACTGACCTTGATTGCTCCTCCTAGAAAAGCGTCAACCACTTAATACACTAAATTGTTCTAAATAATTTGTTTGATTGGATATGTTTTATCAGTTACTAATCTACGTTGGTGCTCATCTCGAATAGCATTCTGCATCTAAACATGTTGGTGTTTGTGTGCATTTTTGAAGTAAAATCTGTATGCAGATTTAAAGTGAAAATTGTACATTGATTTAAAGCAAAACTGAACTATAATAGTATTCCTTTGTTATAATGTCCCTCCTTATTACCAATACCAGGTATAAGAATCCTATCAATGATTCAATTCATGTACTTTAGTATTTCATTTCTTAATCTCTCCCGCGATAGTCAATCCACCCTAGCTCCTTATTCCCGGAAGAAATTTGCCCGGTCCAAAAGACTATCAGCATAATGAGATACATGCAGAACTGCATTTATTTTAAGTATTGTGATACAAAATGTCTTACCAATAACAATCAGCTGTGTTATGTATACTCTTGTAGTACCAGAAGCAGAACACTCATAATTTCCCTCGTCACTTTCTCTTATGTCAGATATATTCAGATTATATTCTCCAATTGTTTGATTACCAGAAATATTCAATCTCTTTTTAAGGTCTGTTGGTAAATTTGGATTTGTTAAATTATTTTCTGAATAGACATTATGAGAAATAAACCAAGATATTCTGCCACTGCCCGTGGCTGTATATGGACATTCGAGTTGTACACTAGAACCTTTGAGAGCTGACAATGCATATAATGATGCTGAAAATCAAAATTAATAGAATATATAGCATTATAATTATCGATGATGTATTGATGTACGCGGACGTCAACTAAACATTTTGACTTTTTAAATTTTGAATTTCAAATCATTGGACACGACCATGTCTTTTTGCAGTAAATTATTTTGTTATATGAAATCTACTGCAAAGTACAACAACCTATTTTATAGTGTAAAATCGAATGACTCATATTAGCAAGTTGAGATAACCTTCAGTAGCTGCGATCATGTGAGCACGAGTTAAGTTTGTTCTGAACTAATTTTTATTGTACATTAATCATGTTATTTCTCAAATATCTAATGTAAATATTGCCAAATGTGCATTTGCCTATCACTCGTCAGAGACTGTTTTTTAAATTAACACTTTATGTTTCATGGCTATTAATGATTGGTCTGATTGTAGATCTTTGATAGTGTTTTCTAAACTAGGGACAATTTAGATTCTGTCATTGTATAAACATGTGTTTGTTATGTCTACGGATTGCAGTCTCATTAACGTAAACAACAATTATTGATCTCTTTTTAAAAGTATGATCCCACTGTCAGAAATTTTATTTCACTTACAAAATCATAATTCAAAAAATCAATATAAGAAATGTTAAAATTTATGTTCATATTCAAGTCATTCATTTTGGCTGAGTAGACTTACTGATAAAGGTTATATTGTTACCCAGTGGGCACTCGACGTTGTTACAACATTGAAATTTGGTTGAAATTTGGTCGTGACGTTGATCAACCTAAATTCAACGTTGATCTAACGTTATGGTATACAACGTTGTTTCAACGTTGAATTAACGTTGTTAAAATCAACGTTTAAACAATAACGTTGATTCAACGTTAAGTTAACGTCAGTCATTCGCGACAGAAAAATCTCATTGTCAAAATTGAGGGGCACAGATATATTTTAATGAGCAGATCGGGCAAGGGGCAGTTTAGTAATATAAACGATTGTATAATCAGTGGTTACTCCAGAACTTTTTATAATACTTATAAGGGGGTCCACTTACTGCCATAACTTTAGCATGAGGGGGCTTCCTCCTGTCATCAACTTCCATGATCCCTATATAATCAACCATTTTTTCCCACAAAAAAGGGGGAAACCGGACTGTTTATGCATGAAAAGGAGTTTTACGCAATAACAAGGAGTCAGGAGACTTCAGCAATAACACATAACACATCTGCTTTTTCCCTTAAATTTTTTTTTTTGTGTTTATTTTTTAAGTATCTTTAGGTTAAAAAAAAAAACAGTTGGAATCAAATATTTAGTAATTTGTGTTTGATGATTCTCTATTTTTTGGGGGGATCTCAAAGCCTGTTCATGCTATTTTAATTATATGTATATCTGTATGAATATGATATGTTCTTAGTTTATGTTTTTAAAATCAAATCGATTTTTTGAGTTGCTTTCTTTCAATTAAATAGATAAGAGAAATTTTCAGTTTATTTATATTATTTATTATTTATTTTTTATTGATTAATATTTAATATATATATGATCTTAAAATATCATCGATGTACAATGTATTCAGTATAATAATTGAGTAGTTTTTAAATTTTCGCGGTATTTCAAGTTGAGTTCCGAAAATTTTCTTTCGGGTGCGCACGCAAGCACGTGCACCTCGATTCAACATCCGTTTATAAAATTTTGAAAATTAACCTCGAGATATTATCGCAACAGACTGATAAACACATAGTGAAAGGAATATAAAAACAAGAGTAGACTTTTCTGTATAAACCTCTTGATATTAGTGTAAGTATATTTTACAGTTAGATTAACGAAGAATCATAATATATACAAACACATTCAAATGTTCAAATTATTTATCTGCATGTACATGTAAACCATGTTTACGTTCACAGAAATTGTGACAAGGTCTTATCTTACTGAATCTGATTCATTTTCGTGTCAAAACAGTTTAATGATTTGTTTGCATATATCCTCCAATTAGCGAACTAACATAAAACATATGGCTAGCCATGTACAGAATCAGTAATATCAGAAAAGGGGGAGGGGGTCATCGAATACCAGCCAATTCGTTCCAATACAACTCGATATCATATAGGGTGTGTCTGATACACACAGAAATGGTCTGCTCTTAAGCACTGTTTTGGTCTTTTTGGTATTATCGTAAAATACCAGTCATCTGTGTTCGTTTCATCTGTATATGAACATTATTTTAATTGCAAAACACAGATCTGGTTAGAATTCATGCTTTGACTTGTTATTGATGTAAGCTTGGACAATTGTTTCAAATGGACATGTTGCGTTTTATGATTTGAAATATTTTTATTTTTTTTTTGTTATTGGTAGAATTTGATAACAATTCCGGCTTTAATACACAACTTTTAGTATGTAATAATTCATATTTGTGTTCTTTCTTTTCCATGCTTTCAGATGCTGTTCTAGTCTGCCACAAAGAGATAACAGAATCCAAAATATCTAGCCAGTATTCAAGACGTTTGACGTGTGCCCCACAGAGAGCAGAACGAGTTGCCAGGCTAAAGAATCTTTAAAATAAAATATTTTTTCATTTTAAAAACCTAATTTTTTAATTTCTATAGTTGATTTAGTGTCAGTAAAAAAAGGCAGTGAAATTAAGAAATACATTATTTGGTGTTCTGCATCTTTTTGTTCGGTTTACTCAATTGTATCGGGTGTATAGATAATGATTGAATGAGTAAACAGCTTGATGATGTTATGGTTTGTTCAAAAAGCCTTAAAGATAAATGTGAGAAAAAAACATATCCAGTATACCCACAAAACGTCAAAATTCAGATCGACATGATATCAATAAAAATGAAAAAAAATCAGAAAATAGAACTAAATATCGGATAACAAAACTCAAAATGAGATCTTTTGTTTTTAAATGGTCCTGCTATGTATTCACATTAAACAAAGGAGGCATTTTGTGTCACTGTGTCAAACTTGTTGCATTTACATGTTTTTGAATAAGTTCGAAAACTTGATCAACCAGAATCAAAACAATGTGCTGTAGTAAGTTGATACATGTGTTCTTTTGCTCAGAGAAATTGATGTGCTAGAAAAGAAAGATTTGTTGATACTGAAATACTTGGTTTCAAATGAAATCTTGATATTCTAACTGTCTCTCCCCTTTGGTTTTGATTTTCATTGTCTTATATTCTATTTTAAGAGTTGTCACTTGTTGAGAAAAGAACTTTTGATGGATATTCTAACTTAAAATAAAAAAAAATGGCTTTTGTTATTTCATAATTTAGGTATCTTATTGTTGTATTTGAACACGTGCCAATAAGGATTAATTCACACCTGAGAACCATCACTTTACCTAAATTCAACCAACCTACCATTGACATGATTTCAACCTAACCCGACGTGATTTCAACCTAAACCCGACCTGATTTCAATCTAACACAGACCTGATTTCAACCTCACTGAACCCGATTTCAACATGTTTTCAACGTTAATATAACGTTGAAACTGCAACGTTGATTCAACGTCAGAATTTCAACGTCATTTCAACTTTCAAATCTTGTAACAACGTTGAAGTCTGACATTTGATCAACGTTGATACAACGTTTTGTGCCTGCTGGGTACTTATTCTTTCGACAAATCTTTTTTTTTTTTTTTTTTTTTGGGGGGGGGGGTTTGCTTATTTACAGTTTGAATTACCCAAGGACCAAGTGAGCTATTGTCATTGCTTGACGTACGTCGTCGTCGTCCGTCGTTTGTCGGCGTAAACTTTAAAAAACTTTTCTTCTGAAACTATCGAATATTGCCAAACTTCAGCTGAGTCATTAATCAACAGACATGGCCGCCGATTCTCAAATAGGACAAAGGGGTAGACCGTAGTTTTTTGCGAAAAAATCAACAACATAAAACTAAAACAGTCAAAGCAAATCTGACATGGGGTATAATTGATCAGAAATTCAAGGTCGATCTGTTCTTAAATTTTAAAAAAGAAGTCATTTCGTACCTTGACCATTTCGTACCTCTGCCATTTCGTACCCAAAATTACAATTTTGTACCCATTATTTACCATTTCGTACCCACAATAGAAATCATTTCGTACCCTATGGGCCAAATGCATCTACCATTTCGTACCTCATGGACTAGATACATGTTTACTATTTCGTATCATATATTTGTAAAAGTTATAATTGTTTTAAGATATAAAACATTAATTTTGAGATGTATTTAATATTTTTTTTAGATTACATAAATAAAATGCATCCAGCCATAGAAATGTTATAAAGACCGATGATTGGTTTGATTAATCAACACTTGGAAACTTTAATAGTTTTAATTACACTTTGTTTGTTTGCAGGATTTATCCTTGATTAATTTTTCAACTCTAAAAATATGAGGTTAATTAACCAACAAAGGAATAATTATCTGCAACTGTTTTTATAGTTATTTCCAGTTGTTTTCGTTAGGAAATGCTGTGAAAAAGGACACAAGCTGATATTCACCCAAGAAGGAAGCCATGAATAAAAATGTTTGCATAAGAATTGGCACCAATTTCAAATGGTACGTGTATTCAAAAACAATTATAATCCAAGTAAATAGCATGCTACCTTTTTAAAACAATACGCCATTAGGCGCGTGTCTTAAGTATATGTAATAGAATGATAATCATTCTCTTACAAACTTAGAAAAGTGTAAAGTGCTCATGGCTCAAATGATCTCTTGATTGGTTTTATTCAAGAATTTGTTTCATTGTCAGTAATAGTTATCCCATGAGGACGCGGTGTGTCAGTGTAAGATCACCACGATGGCCGGAGGCCAAGGGTGATCTAACACTGAGACACCAAGTCCGAATGGGATAACTATTTTACATCCCAGCTGTTTAAGATTAGACGAAAAACCATTTACAATTCATAAAATCTAGTTTAGAACGCCACACAACCATTATAATAAACTTTATATATTACTATATAATATATACCCTATATGATCCCCGAACACGATGTTTAAATATGAAACCATGTCAACTCGCCCCAC